TAGCCATTTTATTTTTTTCTGTTGATGCTAGATGCTAATGGAACCTGCTTCAGGAGAATAAAATTACCTAATATTTCAAATAATAGGAAGATGGTGTTGACATATGATGGCTGTGGCAAAGGAAATATTAACATTAGGATTTAAAATATTCTAAAACTAAAACTTAGCAGAGCCTGTCTGACACTGATGTAGCCCAGTTAGATAACCACGAGAACATCCTCAGCTGTGATTGTTTGCTGTTGTTTTTACATATTTAGTTTTTTTTGATGACAGTGACGGTCCTCGAGACAATTTTCCAGGAAGGAGAAAATATAAATCAAACCTGCTGTACTCAATATAAAGTTATAGTATGTTTTATAAAACTGTTATCATGATCTGGTTTTGCTAGATGAAAGCACTACAATATTGGCTGTACATTAACGCGTTATAATCTGTGTGTACTGTACATGCACAATAAGGAATTACACAATGCCCGCTACAGACTGGCCAATAAAAACATAGGTTCCTGGAAGTGTTTGTAAAACTGGATAATACAAACTTCCTGGAAATGTTTGTATTGGCCAGTCTGTAGCAGGCATTGTAATTTCTTATTGTGTATGTGTGTCCTGTACAGTATATCACACTCAGATTATAATGCATTAATTATGCGTGTATATTTTAAGATAGTGCTTTCATCTTGCACAACCAGATCATGATAATTGCTTTATAAAACATACTATAGCTTTATATTGCTGAGTACAGCGGGTTTGATTTATATTTTACACATCTCCTTCCTGGAAAATTGGCTCGAGGACCGTCACTGTCATCAAACAACCAAAATATGTTCAAACAACAGCAAACAATCACAGCTGAGGATGTTCTCGTGGAACATCCTCAAATGAATGAAAAGCCACATCTACTACTATGTGTAGAGGTAATATGTTCTCCCCTCCTTTATTAAAGGGTTAGTTCACCCAAATATTAAAATTAGGCTGCGTTTTACTCACCCCCGAGGCATCCTAGGTGTATATGACTTTCTTCTTTCAGACGAATCCAGTAGGAGTTATATTAAAAATTGTCTTTGATCTTTCAAGCTGTTTAATGCCACTCAGCGGGTGTTACATTGCTTCAGTCCAAAAGAACTTAAATAAAAATCACCCATCCATTAAAAAAAGTGTCTCACACGGCTCCGGGGGCTGAACAAAGGCCTTCTGTAGCGAATCGATGCGTTTTTGTAAGAAAAATATCCATATTCAAAACGTAATAATCACTTTAATGTAGCTTGAACACAGAAGCAGTTCCGAGAGCATGACGTATGAGGTCAGTGTTGCGCATGTGCCGGTGAGTCTCGTGAAAACCAACGTTTGTTAACAGGAGCAAAGGAAGCATAGTTTCCTT